TGGATTTTATTCTTTTTACTGTTCTGTACATACGAGCCCTCTGAGCAAAATAACAGATCCTCTGACACTTGGAAGAAGCCACTGCCTTATTGGCTGCCCACAGTGAAATAATTTATATTGGTGTTCGTCCAAATTACAAGGATTGTAAAGAAAGTCCAGAATTCAGAGTAATCAGTGCTTCAGTGCATGGATCCCACTGCTGCCACGCGGGTGAGACACCCACTATTTCAATGAGAGTTTGCAAAGACTGCAAAAAAAATTGGTCCCCAAGTGTTTTCTACCAATTTTTCTCTTGTTATTTTCTTCAGTGGTTAATGGAAAGCGAGGACAAGTGGAGATCATTTAAAAATGATCTTTTGGGCCTCTCCGTGGCTTTATTGCCAGGACCTATTTAGAAGAGCATAAAACTGTAAGGGGCCTATAACATTGCTGTATAGTCCATGAGCTTCCTAGGAAAATGAAGAGCCATTGCATTCGTGCTCTGCTTGCTTCTCCATCCCTCCCTCTTCTTGCAAACACGCATGCACGTGTGCGCAGGGACTTCTGGAGCTGCTAATTGAATTCATTTTTGTGAAAGCGTTAACAAATTGTAAGTGACCTTTTATACAGATTTCAAAGTCAAGAATTCACCCCTAACTGCATACCCCTCTTCTGCCATTCACTGTTATGCAAAACCCACAAACAATTAAAAGAAATAACAAAGAGCCCAGCGGCCCTCTTTCCTAATTAGCTGCAGGAGGCAATGCTGGGGAGTGTGGCTAAGTGCTTCAATTACCTCGGCCCTCCTCGTTGCCCTTGTTAGAGCAGACAGGTCCACTGGCCAAAGGGGAACAATTAAGGCAAGGCAGATCCAGGCAGTTTGCAAGGGGATGCAGGGCCGTGCCGGCGCTCGCAGAAGGGCCAGAGCTGTAATCATGCCCCAGATTCCTGCTGGGCTACACAGAGACAAATTAATGGTAGATAGATTGCTAGCTCCAGCCCATCAGTAACAAGGGAGGAAGGGAGACAATATAGCAGTACAAGGGAACTGTAATCAGAGTTTTCCTGTACTGTAAATCCCTTTCAGGGCAGAGGGAGCTGAGCACTCATGTCTCAGAGCTGCGTGCACTGGCGGAACCCCAAAGCCTGGAGCTGAATCACAGATTCCAGCCTGTGCTTTATTTGCTGAAGATAATCTGTGCTGGGTGTGCTGAGGAGCTCCACAGAGACACTGGGACCAAACTGGTTCCCAGCAAGGGACTGATCTGAGCTGCTGGGAGACAGAGTGGCTGTCTGAGCCCCAGCCACAGAGAAGGGAGGGGAACACCACAGACAGAACCACCTCAGGACAAAACCTTCCATCATGAGATCTGCACGGACTAGATACAAAAGTGATGCCCCCTATGCTGTCTCCTCTGTGCACCAAAGACCCCTAAAGAGAGATCCTTTCCAGGCAAAGCCCACCAACCTCTCAAGAATCAGTTAAAATTTCAGGATGACTTGGTGCAACACGGCTTCAATAAAAAGAACACCGATGACATGATTTCTCTGTTGCACAAACACCCGTACTGCATTGCTATTGCCCACTGCTGCAGAGCTGCCATTGAGTTTGGGGCACACACACCCAACTCCTGGGAGCAGCACTCCCACCATACGCTGACCATCAGCAAGAACACTGCTGCACCAGCTGGAGCCTACCAGGAAACCCAAGGGCTGAAGTTTGTTCTAATATATTTACGAGCCCTTTTGTTGTTGAGTAATGCAAGAACAAAGCGATCGCAAGTCAAGTTTTTACCCATTTACAACTCCACAATCCAACTGATGGCATCCTTTAAGCCAGTGTGAAAACCCTCCCAGAGCAAAGCCCTTTGTACCCACTTTTGCCAGGTACCTTTTTTCCCCGCTGCTGCAGAAAACTTTGAAAGTAAGTTTGAGGGGAGACTGACAACCTTGAAACCTCAAGAGCAGCATGGCATTGACGGGTGCTGCTCTCAGAGCCGAGTATTATAGATAGATTTTAATTTCATTTTAACAAAATAGCTGTCTCCAGTGGAAGCAGCATCAAGAGCTAAATGAGGACCCATCTTGAGCTGAATCACGTTGAACAGACCTCGGCGCTGTCATTGATTTTCTGGGAAGAAAAAAAATGCCTCTGGCTACTAAACCAAATTAGTAGTCACTGATGACCAATTATTTTGCCCCACTGTGAACGGAGAGGCGTACTAAAATTCCAGTTTGTCAGACCCAAGGCTCTCTTCTCAAACACCTTTCAACGAGCGTGTACCAAAAGTCCCTCAGATGCTTCTGACGCCTTCCTGTTTTCGGCAACTTCTCCTTCTGCAAAGTTTTAATGAGCTGCTGCTCTGAGGACGGCCTGCCAGAAAGGGACTCCCTCCCAACTCGGTGGAACACTATTTGGCATGCCGCACAAATCACAGCTGTCAGAATTTATACACACATACACAAAAAAAGTGTCAGCCTAATGTTTGCAAATTATAATTACCATTTCCCTTGCATGTCCCTGGTGCCTTCATTTTAGATAAATCCCAGCTCTGAGGTATCAGCTGCAAAGCACTGAAGGCTCACATTGAATAGAATAGATTTAACTAGTTTGTAGCTCATTTAAGGCCTACACTGTTTTATTTTAATATTGTTAATACTTTATTATACTTTTTAACATTGTTTTCACAGTAAAATAGCCTATTAGGAGGCTGCAGCTCCTTTTCCAAGAGATTTCTGGCAGGCTAACGCCCCACATTGTGTAACCAAGTAAGCAGGCTCTTGTCACTTCAGTCGAAAATAGGTCTGTACCCTCACTCTTGAAAGTAAATTAGAGAGAAAGTCTATTAAAGAGACAGGAATTGTTTCAAGGATAATAGTTTTGAAAATGTGCATAGATAAATTTTAAAATATTTAGGAAATGTCAACATTAGAAGTGGCTCCAACTATTTGACTATAAAAGGAGGTGGCTGATTATTTTTTTTTCCTCCACAATTATAAATAATTTGTTACATCCTATCAGAACTTCTCTCCCTCTCCTTTCTGTGGCACGGTGCTTGTGCCAAAACAAGGAGATCTGAGGGGCTGGGAACGAGACAGGTTTTAATCCACAATGCATTTTCAGCAGATGCTTCCCCTCTCCCCACAGCATCCACAGACAGTAACAGCAAAAGCCTCCCAGTGCAGAGGGTGACATCTGGGCAGGGTGACAGAACACATCAGCAGCCCCTAAGCAAGCTGAGGTGTGGGGACATGTTCCTATGGGCCAGTTGCAAAGGCGATGTACCATCACACTGCCAAGCAGCGCTGGTAGCAAGGCCTCAACTCCCCATCCACCCCACTGGGATCAGCGTTTGACCTACAAAGACAAAACTTCCTCCCTGAAATTTCTCCTGCAGCTTTAGTGGAGGAAGCGTGCTCCTCGATATCCCCCTCTCTTCTTTGCTCCCTCAATAAGAAAAGCCAGATGAGGGGTCACATCCCACAGCCCAACAGAACCCACACATTTAAATAGGACACAAGTCACTCCTACTAATTTCAAAGAAGCAGTTCGTGCGTGCGTTATTCCAGGCATGACTCTATACTTTGCTGGATCAGGACTTAAATGCGATTAATCACACGGCAGGGAAGAGTTTCTGAAGAGCATCAACCCAAATGTGTCCTTTCAAGCATTTACGTACAAGCCAGCTGTGGACTAATCAGTCACCAACTGGCTGGTCCATCAGAGATGGTAAAGTCACCTCCATAGAGATGTGAAAACACACAGCTATCATAAAAATCCAGAATCAAACCACCATCCTCAAGGGCTCCATGTCTTCCTGCATCCCTCCCTGTTCCTGCACTTCAGGACATCTCCTGCCTCGGAGAGCCAAGGAAACCAGCCTGGGAGCAAGGCTCACCACAGGCTTGTGCCATAACTACCAACATTTACACCATGCAATGAAACATCCAACTTCAGTTTTGCCATATCTTTTAATCCTTTGCAGATACTTTTGCTCAGCTCTGAGCAGTGTGAAATGCCAAACTGGAAGCAAAGGAAATGAAGAGGGGAAAGAGAGGGACAAATGTAGGTGTCCCCTTTGGCACAGTGGCTCTCCAGATGGCAGTCTGGAGCAGCAGGGCTGATTTGTAAGCAGAGCCTTGAAAAGCCCTGCAGCGTGTGATCTGTGCAGCAGGAGGGCTGTAGCAGGATGCTCTTCTGATATGAATGCCCCCTGGGATGCGTGTTGCTGGATTGCCCATTCAATATCATTAGAAAACACAACCACAGATTAGGCTGTTCTGAAGCATGTGGACAGCACGTGGGTGGCAAAGGGGACTCCTTTAATTGCAGCAGAAGTTATTCTGAAGACAAGTCATTTCTAATTTCTGCTGTAATGGACTCCCCCTTTGCCAGGGTCCCTGAGCTACTGTAGAGGACCCTTGCAAAGCTCTGAGAAAAAGTTTAAAGGAATTTGAGTTGTTTCCACTGCACGTCAGTGACATTTTGCATTTCTCAGTTTCTCTGCTCAGCTCACTGGTGTCTTGCAGCTGGCCTGGTCAGGTGGGGAAAGCACTGCCTTGTGTTACAGGAGCAGCAGCTGAAGGCACTGCAGCTACAGGTGTGAGTAGACCTGACGGTTCTAAAGTCAGTGGCTGCTACTGAGATGAGAAAGTCCCTCCCCAACAAGATGTGCAAGGACAAGGACTGATAAAATTCAAGCTAGACATCCTCCATCACCTCCTCCCTTGGGTATTCTGTTTGCTTCTGGGGGAGAAGAATAGCACCACAACTGGTGATAAGCAATATGCTGTCCTCAAGGCAAGAACCCTGCTGCTCCACTGCTGCCACTGCCAGTTCTACCTCCTGCAGTTTCTGATTAAAGCATCCTCACCTGGCAGGAGCAAGCCTCAATAAGTCCAGGCTACAGCTGTGCCTCTACTTGGTGACATGTTCCAGGAGTAGAGAAGGGAATCAGCACAAGGAGGTAGAGAGGTGTTAACCCTGGAGATTATATTGTCATGTTCTGAATGTTTTCCAGGCCTTCCACTCCTCTGTTTGACCTCCTGCAACACAAATACAAGGAGCTGTGGATGGAACAGCAGAGAGCACGGACCGCAGCGCTCCGGCTGGAGAAGACAAAGGTAGTAATGCTCCAACAGGGCTGCTGCTTGCTACCAGACATCAGCTCCCACTGTCCCACCCACAATAGGTGGGCTTCTGCCAGTCACAGGGAGGGGTTTCAGCCAGGAAACCATTTTCCCTGCCTACTAGAAGACAAAGCCTCATAAAGATCAGAACAGCTTCCTCCTAGTCCGGATGGGCCTGGCTCCAGCCAGAGCATGTTCTGCAGGTTGATGCTGTGGGAGTGAACAGCAGATGCATGGGCCTGGAAGTGCTCTGGAGACAGAAGGGAGGCTTTTTAAAAGTATTTTCTTCATTGGAAAGTGTATCAGCTTGTTGGAAATGGAGCAAGCTCAGAGCAATGGTGCTTTGATGAAAGCCCTGCTAAAGGCTTAGGCAGCTCTTCTAAGACATCTCTCTGGCTATCATTAAGCATCTGCTTACATCAATATGTCTCTAGTCACAGGGTGCCCACCTAAACTCCTGTTAAATTGAAATGGAAGCTCTAATGCTTTTACAGTACTAAAAAGCTCTACTGTAACAAAGAATTTGGTTTCATTTTCATTTTTGGTTTCAAATTATCATTGGTATTTAATGCCATCCTCATGCCAGAAGCCCTGCAGATTGTCCTCTGGACAGCATCAGCTCCACTCAGGTTTCCTGCAGCAGTGGATAAAAGAATGGAGCAGCCAACAAACGTTCAAGGGGCCGACATCAGCCTTGATCCTGGCATGGCACAGCAGATGCCCTCACCCCAAGCAGTTGTTAGAGCTGTTAAACGTAACAATATTGTAATAACATTTAAAAGCAGCCAATGACTGTTTTATTAGTTAATGACTCAAGGAAGAGTCGGGCTAATATGGTAATGACCAATTTCAGTGGGCTTACTGCCATCACAAAGTATGCTTTATAGTGGAATTGCTATACAGTGTTCTTAATTAGCAGCTACTTTATGAACGCACAAGCCGAGGATGTTGGAAAAATGCATCCCTAACTTATTTATTAATGACTGATGTTTTAATCACTAAGTTCCCTCCATCAAATTCCTGAATTCTGCAGCCACCAATTACTGATTTAAGCAACACAGACCTACAAACTAGACCACAGAGTGGACAGATTCCCTGTTTCAATTAATTAGGAGAGCAACACATCAAACAGTCAGGAAATCCCCCCCTCTGTTGAGGGTGGTGGAAGTGACTTTCCCAGCTGGTGATGAGCCATTGCTCTAGTTCAGGTTCCACACAGGCAACAGTCATCTCGCTGAGATGACAGAAAGCTGAAAGTTGGCTGTTGCCCAGCATTTCCTTATCAGTATGTTTTAGGTATCAGCATCAACTGCACAGACATGAAAGACCAGACGCATTAGGGTGATCCAAAGTGACATATAGACTAGTAACGACCCTGGGATGACCATTTCAAGACACAGATGTGACATACATAACCTTGCAGCCATGTCAGCCTGTTCTTGTTCATCTTTAGACACGGAAGGACAAAGTGCGCGACACCCGCACCACGCTTCTCCGAAAAAACCCAGTGCCTCCAAAGGAGGAGTCCTTTTGGCACCTGCCCCACCTGGAAAAGGTATGAACCATTTGAACTTAGGAACACCTTCTAACCTCACCCAGGTTCCCTGGGAAGTCTCTTATCTCATGAAGGCAGACATAATGCTCTTACCTGAAAGCTCCCCAAGACCCAGACCCCATAGCGTTCCCACCCTGGACGTGCTTAAACTCCATTATATTTTGGACCTGGAAAAGGGGCAGCAGTTAACAGATAAAGGGCTGATTGCCTAACTTGTGGGCACTTCTATGATCTTCATCAGATCAGAAACACCTTATTATACCTCCCATCAGTACTGGCCTTTGTCCTCTCTCAGTATTCCTGCAACTGCTCTACATGACCATAACAATCAAACCTACTTTTAGATAGTCTAACGTTTTATCAGCTCTCACCATAACTAATTCAAGCCACGCCAGATTAAAGCGTTCCAAGGCAGTAACACAACGGAAGGCACAGCAATGACAGCAGAGCAACAAAGCCCCAGGCTGCACCAGTGAGGATTTGCTCAAATACAACAGCCACGAGCACAGAAATAAAGGAAAGAAGATGCTTACCTCCAGAAGGCCTCAGGTATGCAGGGAGCTCCAGCAAGAAACTCACCCCTTCACTGCCAACCCTGGTCTGGACAGGGGTGGATCCTGGCTCCAGCCCTTCCATCATTCAGTGCATTGGATACACCTGAGCTCCCCTGGGTTGGCCCTGCCTTCCCACCAGGTGCTCAATCACTGCTACAAGCCCTGACTTAGCATTTCTGCTACAAAGACTCATTTTCATCCCAAGAGTTGGAGATTCCCAGAAAGCCTACTCTCATGATATCTCCCTAAACTACCTGTTTGATAATATTCATCCTGAGACTGAGCAAAGGGTCTAGCCAGGCTACAGATGTGCAAGACAATTCCTTGAACTGATCCAAATAAGAGCTAAGATGATGATTTCTTATTATTATCCCAGCAACAGGATCTGCTTCCTGAATTCATCAGCACACCCTACTGTGCTCTGTAATACCTGCATGAATTCTCCTAGCTTTGTTTGTGGTGTAAAATGCAGGGAAACGTCAAGTGAAAATCTAGGAGGCATTTTAGAAAGGTAGAAATAAGAGCTGGGCAAGAGAAATGGAAAGGAGACACCAGAAGGTCTGAAAGCGTGGAAGCCCTTCAGAGAGTTGGCATGTCAAAATCATATCTGGCATTGACACTATTGCAAAGAGCCTCTCAACCCTCTGTTCCAGCCCTGGTTCTGATGGTTCTGGTTGGTTTTGTTTTTTTGTTTTTTTTTGTACAATGCTGTAGATTTTTAACTGCAGTTTAAAACAATGAAGGAGCCTTTTGACTTCCTGAAGCTAATTTACTTGTACAAGTTGGAGAGTTTCAACCAAGAAATGTATTTTGCACCACCTTGATGTATTCCTCTTACATCCTGTCTAAGACTGTCCGATTAGCATATGTCAGTAATCATTTATCCCAGCTGCCTGTCAGCACAAAGCTGCTGCTGCGGCTCGTGTCAGGGAAAGAACATGACCGATCGCTGTTAAACAGATTGTGTAAGTCACACGAGATACTGGGGCAAGCCTTCTCTTTAGAGCTCCTCTCACCCCAGACCTTTCCATCACTATTCATTTTTCAGCCTCCGTTTTTCTTTGTGCTTTCCCTTTTGTTTCATCCGTGATTGCGGTTGGATTCCCCCCACAGCCACAGGTCTCAAACACCACCTGAGTCTTTCTGTCTCTTCTCTTCTTCCTCCCTCCTCTTCCTCTCTTTCTCAGGAACAGCATCCAGGGAGAAGAAAGACACAGCATCTTCTATTGTCCTTCTCATTACCTGGAAGGCTCGCCTTTCCCTAGCTGCGGATCTAACAGGCACTGTTCATGTTAGAACTTGAATCAGGAAATTAATTGCTTAGTTGACTTTCAGTGCATGATTTCCTCCATGGAAAAGCAAGTTCTCAAACATCCATAAAAGTGTACCCAGTCAAGAGCAGAAATACCCCAAAGGAAGCTGTTGGCTTCAAAGAATGCTTGATAGACTCCAAACTGTGCTTTAACCATCTCTGTAAGTTTGGGTTCTTTCAAAGCAAAAGCCTTGAGACACAAGCTGGCCCAAACCTTCACCCAAACTCAGACAAACTCAATCAGTCATATCATCCCATCGTTTAGAAAGGTGACAAAGTGCAGCACTCCAAAGAGGTAAGGGAGTTTGTTGATACACCATTACTGTTCTCATGAAATCTCTGGACTAATCAGTAGATCCATGCAGGACCTGGCACCACGCTAAAGCTCATGGAGGAAGCAGAAAAGAAAACAGAGAAGCTTCACCCTTCCCATTAATTGTCTCTGCCTACTCCCTGCATTGCCAAGGCTGCATGACATTACCTAGTCAATGAGTTGCTAAAGTATAGACAAATTGACTGTTTTCATTTGGTTTCAGCCCCAGTGCCTTAGAATAATGGCCCACACCATTAGGCTAACCTAATGTGTGGTTTGCACGCCCTCTCACACCAGGGACTCTCCAGCTCTGCGTCTCGCTCTGCAGGACTGACCTGGTGCGTGGTCCCCTGGGCCCCCCAGGCCCCCCGCTCATGGAGAGAGGCAGGGCATGGGGAGCCAGTCATGTCCTGGTGGGCAGTTCATTAGGGGAAGTTGTCCTAGAGGGGTTTTTACATTTATTTGTTACAAATCCAAACAGAAGTTAACTCCTTGCTCACCTCACAAGGCATTCCTGCTGCCCTCCACTTCCTCGACCACCCCCAAGGCAAAAGGCCTCCATCTTGTTCCGCCTGCAGCAATCTCAGCTCAGCTCAGGTTCTGCTAACACAGCTGGGACCACGCACCAATACTTCCTTTTTGTCTGCACTACATTCTGAGGGTCTATAAGAGATCAGACACCCAACATGTACAAAAGCATGTATCCTGTCCTCGTGTCTCCCATCGCTAACGTTGCATTGACCTGGGCAAAATGGCATCTCCAGTGTCAAATTCTGGACAAGATGTTGCTGCCAAAATACATCATCCCTAAAGCACTGCTGTCTGCAGAGAGCCAGTGCAGGGTGAGGCTTTGGTTGCCTCCATCTGAATCTTTGATGGCCATAATCCAAACCAAGAACATCTGATGGCCATAATCCAAACCAATGACCAACACAGGCCGCTCAGCAATAGATTTTCAGGGCTCTGTCAAGTCAGTCCAGAAAGACGTTTGTTTTTGTAGCAGCACCTCATGATGTGGAAGGACAGAATTTGCACATGAGTCAAAACAGCTCCGTATTCTGTGTGTCACAAAGTATTGGCTTTTCTTTGCTCATTAGAGAATCCCAACTTGCACACACATTCAAGGAGGCTTTCCAGAGAGAATATTCTTGTTTACTTGACCAAACAGGGGGAGGAAAGAAAATGCAGCAACTTTGGACAACATTTTTGTCAACGTGTGCTGCCTTCCCGAGCAGATGAAACGAGCTGTGCTCGATGCACGATATGAATAAGCGATAAGCAATTGACGAGCAAGTGTTCGGGTACCTTGGCAAAAGACTTAATTTGCAACCTGGCACAAAATCAAAGGCTCTGTCAACGACTGAGCGGCTCTCCCGCGTATGCCTTGCATTACCTGGGAAAGCTCTGTCAGGTAAATTTCCAGTGAAAGTAATTAGAGGAATCCCCACTGTATAAACTTTGCAGCAAAATTCTGGGCTCCAGAATTTGATTCTCACCAGGGATCCGATACCTGCTCACAGCCTGATCTTTCGTCAGAATTAACAGTTGAGGTTTAAGACACACACACAGAAATGTTCTGCATTTTTTTTTAATGCTTTACCTCTATTTTTGTCTGAAGAGCTGAACTGACAAGCGTGGCTCATGTAATCCTGCAATTGTTGCCTTGTCAGAAAAGCCATAGACTGTGCTTAACCAACCTGGGCTTGATCCACACAGCAGGATGGCTTCACAGTGCAGCACTGGTCCTCCTGGGTTTGAGGGGGACGACAGAAATTCTTGGAGTTGGGGCCTGGATGGCACATAGACCAAAGCAAGTTTTCTGTCACCATGACACCAGATCAAACCTCTCTTCTAAAGTTGGGTTTTGGCTAAAAAATGGTCTCACCACATGGCTGACCAGTGGCCAAAGTGAAATGAACTGGGGGATAACAGCCTAGCCAGGATTCTTTGGATTTTCTTGTTTTGCCTAACATAAGAACTACCAACAGCACAACTGCTTGGAGCAGCCTATATCAGATCACAGCAATGCATTTCCATGGCCCAGTCTTTCCCAGCATCCCTTCACACATACCTTGTACGCTCAGCCTCTCCATCATACCCTACTCTCCCCTCTGCCACTCTCAGTCCTTCCTTCACCTCAGAGGTGTGGTAGAATCATAGAACCATTAAGATTGGAAAAGACCCCTAAGATCAACTAATCCAAACATCAACCCATCACCACCATGTCCACTAAACCTCCACGGTAGACCATCCTTCCTCTGCCATTGCACTGCTCTCCAACATCTCCTGGTTGACAGCAACAAAACAGCATAAAAAGAAAAAAAAAGAAAGAAAGAAAGAAAGAAAAGGGAAAAGATATTTCAATCTGGCCTATTATTGAAGCCCCAGTCCAGAAGCCCCCAGATCGTGTAAGCTCGTGACTTCTGGTATCACAGTGAACCCAGCCAGAGACCCAAGCCTGTGAGCTCTGCAGTGTGAGGCACAGTGCAGCTCAGCATCCCCCTGTGCAACCTCACAGCCTGGGAAATCTCCAGGCCAGGCTCCAGCTGCACCCAAGCCCTGATGTCCAATGGCAGCACAAGGAGCTGCTGACACCCAGGGCCCATTGCTGTTAGAGATTCAACCATGAAGGAACAGATGTGGGGTGCTTGCAGCCTCATGGGTTGCAGTGGAGTGAAACCACAAATGCTGTGCTGTCTTCCAGGTAAGCCCCTACCATTGCTGCTTCCTCGTACAAATCCACAGGAATGCTTTGGATTGAGGTTTCATTCATGGCCATTCTGCCTTCTGTAGGGACTCTGTTTGCCACCTGACAACTTCATTTCCATGGCACAAAAGGGCTCTAAGTCAAAATCTCAAACTGCCCAAACCGAGCAAGCTGTGAAATCCGACAAACGTCTGCAGCCCTTCTTTGCAGGAGGGAAAAAAATGCAAAGTCTCAGTGGGGCATTAAATCAAGCATTTTCTGAAGCCTTTGAACATGCATGGACCATTTAGCCCAAACTCCTTTGTCCTTATTTTTCCTTATCTTCTCGGAATTAGAAAGGTGGGGAGAGAAGACCCAGCCCATTCATTAAGCAACTTCAGGACGAAGCCACTGGGAAAAGCCGCGGTGTTTGTAACCCTGATAACCCAACACAGCCCTCTGAGCACAGCTCAGCTTGGACAGAATAACGTCTGTTTTAAAAATACCTGCCTCTCCCTAACTTGTCATGGCATTTGTTGACAACCCTATTGAAAGCCGCTCTCAGTGCAGCTGTGAAGGATCTTTCAGCACCTCTTTCTCTCTCCTAGACAGTTTTTGAAAGGGAGGGGAAGGAAGAAAAAAAAAAAAAAGAAGAAAAAAAAAAAAAAGCCATCAATACAGGGGGAAAAAGCATCAGCAGCCAACATCAGCTGATGAAGCGCCTCACCTGGGCCCCCAGCGCACCGCCTCCAATTAAATCAAAATGGTTTGTTTTTAATGGTCTTTTACACTGACAAGTGGGCTATCATTCCAGGCCTAGAGAGCTGTCAGGGAGCCGAGGCAAATCCTCCGTTGATAATGCCCAATGCTTCCAATTAGGAGCCGAGGCCGCTCCTGGCGCACTAACGATTCCCCAGCCTCCCCCAAGGCCCCTTCGGCGCTGGCTGTTTCGTCTTCCCTCTTCCTCCGCCGCAAATTACTGACACAAAACGGAGGCGCCCCGGTGCCTCCTCACCACGCCGGGCCCCGGCCCTGTTGGATTTAATGAGGCGATGGAAGTTTTTGCGGATCTTTCGCTAAATTCTTTTCTTGTTTGACAGCTGCTTGAGTGTTGACCTTATAAAAGATTTAGTGTTTCTCATTATTTTCTGTCAAGCTTTACAAGTGATAGCTTCACGGAAATCATTTGCATCTCGATGCGCGCGCGGCTCTGTCTGTACAGGGACGCTCGGAGCAGCTCGGAGTGCGTGCAGCACCCATACATTGTGTGCTTTATTCCCTCCTCCCCACCAGAAAGAAAAAAAATCCACGAACACGACGCTGTTGTTTTGTGTCGTTTTGGGAAAAGAAGAAACAGGAGAAGGCTTGAAAGGCCCAGGATTTCTCGGGCTCTGTAAATGAGGGGGGTTTTGAAAAAGGAACAGAGATTGGTTTCCTGTAAAGAGAGCTCAGGAAAGTGTTTTGTCACCCACTAAAAGCATTCGATCAAATGGATGATGGAGGTGGGGTTGGGTGTAAGGGCGGCTGTGTTGCGGAAGCAAGGAATGGCAGAAGTGGGGCTGGGAGACCCCTGGGCTGCTCAGTGCCTGCCATGCGCCACTGCACAGCTGCCTCCTGAGCCCACTCTCCCCTTGCAGCCCCGATGTGCCTCCCATTGGGAGCTGACCTGCCTGACCACCCAGCAGCACCCAGAAACCATCCTTGGGACGCCGCCTCAGGGAGCTCTGCCCACCCTGCATTTCTTACATCTCCCTCTGTATTGGTTCTCCTCCTATGGACCTCTCTGCTTGCACCATGCGTGTGGTTGTACTAATGCTTGACGAGGGATCTCTTACAGACCTCCAATTTAAAACATGAGTGACACTCATAAACCCAAATGAAAATAACACCCCTAAAGCTTTAATATGTATTTCGGGGGCCAAGTTTGTTTTAGTGCCCCTCTAACTCTTCACAGCAGGGGCTGATGTGAAAGCACCCCATCTAAAAGTGTCCTGTGAGCTTGAATTTGTCAATAAATATGCAAAGAAAAAGAGCAAATCATTGCTTCTAATAAGCAGAAAGAAACTGCAGCTCCATCATCCTGCAAAGGAAACCACCACGCCTGTGCCTGCAACCTGCTACAGCCAAAGCTCTGAACCTGAAATTAAAACCAAGTCCTGTTGTAAGCCCATAGCCACATCAGAGCAACGGTGAAGATCATCAGCTGCCTCTACAGAAAGTACCATTGGGTTCATCATTGAAAATATGAATTAGAAGAATCAGAGATGTGGATCCATCACCGGCACCGACTTCTCACACCGGTCTGTCACAGGAAGACCTCTGACCCAGGGACACCCTTATCTTGTCTCTCATTACTGGCCTGGGACTAATCCATACACCTCAGGTATCCCTCATTATGAGGGGGTTCCTCATTTTTTAACGCAGCACTTGTCCCCTGCCTTACACCTGGTGCTTCCCACTTACTCATGCTGTGGCATCACTCACAACTTTGTCAAGGACTCCGCTAATTTTAATTACAGCCGGCGGTGGCTCAGTGTGACATTTCTCACCCAGGAGCATTGCAGCAGCCTGGAGTGAACAAACTGCCGCCGCCTCCCCTGTGGCCTCAACTCAACCCCACAAAGAAACGTTGCCCTGCCCAGCTCCCAGGAAACGCAGCCAAGAGAAGCAGCTCAGCTGTCCCTACATACAGACAGCAGATTTTTCTAACAATCCCAGCTCCGGTCCCACACAGATCAGAGGGAAGAAATGCTGCATCTGCAGAGGGAGGTCAGAGCTGGCTTGGGGGGCTCTGGGGCTGCCCACCCATCTCTGCAGCCTGGGCTCTGCCTCCCTCATGCCCTCCCAGCCAGGGGTTGTGGGGAAGCAAGAACATCCAGAAACAGCTGGCTGAAGTCAGGCACTTGAATGCAAATAGAAGCACCCGGATGCCTTCCTCCAGAGAGGGGGAATAGCAAAATATGCTTTGTTTGTCTTGATTAATGAGATTACTAGCAAGCTTTTCAGGGCAAAGACTGCTGTGTATTTTTACATATGCAAAAGCTGACATCCATCCAGTCTGAGCAGGACAGGGGGGAGGGAAGCAGGAGCAAGCTCTGCACGTACACACGAGGCAGATCTATGGCACAAGGCAACGTCAGGGCCCTGATGGTAACCCCACTCCAAACATGAAGATATGCCCACACGTCTCAGTTTAAACCTGTATCTGCAACCTATTTTCCTTGGCCGGCTGCTCATGTAACCAATCATCTATCTGCTCCTTTCACTATAGGTCGGGCCTCATCTCAGTACTTTTCCAGACTGTGATGCTCGTAAGAAGGCGTTCAGTTCCTCCCATTGAGAAGTGCCTGGGAGAAGCAGTTCCCTCCCCAGGGCAGCCGTACATCGAGCTCAGGTCAGGACCTCAGCCAGCATGGAGCCCTGCATCGGCCACAGACATAGGATTATAGGATTTCTCAGGATTGAAAGAGTTGCGTTCATGCAGATGTAGCCAAATAAACCACATGTGGAAATCAAGGTCCTGTTTCTGCCTGTTCATTGCTTCATGGCTGATGCACACCTACGATTTCCTCAGTACAACCACCACAGATCTTAGGCTCGGGGTAACAAGTCACAGTGCCAAGAGGGCAGTGCTTGTAGCAACTCAGTACACAGGGCAAGGACGGTCTCCTCCCCAGCCTGTTCTGCACAAACATGTTAAACCACATCCCACTCAACACCAAGTCTAGGACAGCTCCACAACCCATCAGTCCTTCCCCTTTGCTGCCTGATTCAGCAAAGCTCTTGCCCGTTTGCCTGCATGCAGCCATCCCAGCACCTGCTGCAAACCCTCTGCCAAGCCGAGGCCCCTCCGCAGAGCTCTGTGCGTGCACTCAGCCCCCGCCGATCCTCCGCGTACAGCTCAAGAGCCGCTGCCGCCCGGCTCCGTTCTGTGTTCCCCCGCTGCCGGCCGGGCAGACCCGCGCCCCGACCCCCCCGGCCCCATTCCCTGTCCCCGATACCGAGGGGCCCTGAACCGCCCCGCACGCCCCGGCGCTCCTTGTCCTGCAGTGACACCCACTGGTAACGCTGCTCTACCGCTGCCGCAGGCTCCCCGCCGC